TCTGCCGGAGCTGGAGACAAATCACCAAAGACATTGTCAAAACACCCGAACTTTCCGCCAAGATCACCTTCCCCATTTCTGTTAAACAGGTTCCTCCACTACTCTTTTTCACTTTCTTCTTCCTTTGCCTCTAGTGTTTCATGGGCCTTGCTCAAAATCAGATTTTTATCCAACTACATGCTCCTTTTCTCGATTGTTCATCTTCTTCAACAATTGGGATTTTTACTTTTTACTGTGAAGAAAAGGGGTTTTTTTTTTTTTTTTTTCATGTTTTGGATGTTGGGATTAGCTTGTGGATTTAGTTTAATCAGAAACCAGACAAACTTACCATTCACGAGAAATCATTATCAAAACGATTTTTTAGGTAATTATGGAAAAAATCTACAAATTTACTATACATATGGTTGTTAGTAGTTGAATGTCAGTGTAAAAAACTAAAAATAAAAATCCCTGCACTGCATAGAATATTAACTCTTAATTCATTAATTGTTTCGTCAAAAAAAATACTATAAGTATTTAATGGGTTTTTTTTTAATATTTTTTATATTGGTGTGATTGCTTGAGTGAGTGTTTCAAGGTTTTCTTGCGTTACTTACGAACATTGGTTTTGGTGAAAATTGATTACGATGTTTTTGGCCTGGTGTTGTGAATTGTGATGAGTTGTGCTTAGATGTTTTATGGTTGAAAAAATAAAATTACTTGATGATGCGGTTACCCGAGGCGTGAAGGCAAGGGTGGAGGTAACTGTGAACCGTGGTGGGTAGACTTGAACTGCTCATTTATTTGAGTCTTTCCCTTTCAATATGTGACTCTATTAAATATTATTAACTTCGTTTGTTTGGAATATTAATAAGCTGTTCGTGCATTGCTTCTTTCTTATCTTTTTATATGACGTATAGGGAGGGATATGACATAAATTTAAATTTAAAATATAAATAACCTCCTTGTTTGTATTAAAATTACTTATAATTTTTAAATGTCTTATTTATTATCAAGACGTTTCGTACCCTATTGCTTTTCTCTCTTTTGTAGTATGAGTATATTTGAGAGGATAGTTATTAATGTCATTTGAAAATTTTAAATTGTCATTAATAGAAATAAACTTATTCTTCAGAAGTGGAACGGTATTTCTTTTTCGGTTTCTGTTTTTCATGATTTAAAACTATCTCCTGGGGGAAGAAAATGCTAAATTCCTGCTTATCCTGAAAAAAATCTCTCTAAATGTTCTTTTTATCCTTGTGGAAAATTGTGATTTTGGTTGGTCCATCGTATTTGTGGATATTTTTGGGTTCGTGGCATAATTCTGGATTCACTTTTCTCACCTCCATCACTAGGATTGAATGTTCTATATTACTACTACCTAGGAGGCTGGGACCACTATATAGTGATGTCAATTTTTTTAATTATTATGAGCTTTACATGGGAATTTACTCTGTAATTCCCTGCACGGCGTTGTGAAGGACCACTTTTAGTAGCATCTAGGTATTGTCACTGTTATATTGGCATCCCTGGTGCATCTTACATAGAGTTGTGTTTTCTTTCATTTTTTATTCATTGGAATTACAATGATGACAACGGGGTTCGGGTTGTTGACTTGTTGTGTTTTCTTGTGCTGCCTAGTTGTTCTAGTTCAATTATCTTCTACTAGTTTGTTTAGCTGGGATATATTATGTTTTGGTTGGGTAGTGGCCGTTGATCTTATAATATACCGAGCCAAAAAGTTAAAGGAGAGGTCACTCTTTTGGGGAAATTTAGTGGGTACCAGAAGATGCCTCTTTGGTGTGGAATGCTTTGATTTGTTTTTATTTCCCTACTCTCCATGGTATTGCTCTAAAGATTCCCTTGTTCGTAGGAAAGGCACAATGCTTGAATGTGACTACTGTGCTTGTCTTTTTATTGCTCAGTAGTGGTAATTCAATGTAATGTTTCCCTGCTCTCTGGACTTGCTCTAACGCATTTTTGTTGGTGAATAATTTTGGCAGCCTGGCCCAAGGGAGAATCTCCTCAAATGCTTTATAAAGCGCAACAGGTCCACCCAAACGTATTATTTGTATCTCAGTTTAACTAGTAGTGAGTATATCATAAAACTTGTGGTTGAATCTTCCTGTAAAAAACTTTAGTTTCTTTGCTGCTGCCCATTTTTTTAGTTTCTAATCCCAAGTGTGTTCTTCTTGAATTCAGCGCTAGCTGAAGATGGGAAGTTCCTTCTGGCTGCACGCAAATGCAGACGTCCAACCTGCACAGATTATATCATCTCTCTTGATGCAGACGATATGTCAAAGGGAAGCAACACCTATGTTGGGAAGCTAAGGTGTGATGCTAATTGGTCACTGTGGCCATCATTTTATGTCTTGTTTGTTACTGCAAAGTGCAGAGACTTATACTTCTTCCGCTTTTAACCAGATCAAATTTTCTTGGAACAAAGTTCACTATCTATGATGGCCAGCCACCTCATGCAGGGGCAAAGATTATGAAAAGCCGCTCCACAAGACTGGTGAATCTTAAACAAGTTTCACCTAAGGTCCCTACTGGGAACTATCCAGTGGCTCACATCTCATATGAATTGAATGTGCTAGGCTCAAGGTAAGCTTTACATAAATTATCCGATGATTGTTTGTTATACTATAATTTTCTTTGCATAAATTTTGACCTTCCATCCGTAGATTCCTTTAGTGGACAATAATGCTTTGACTTTGAGTAGCCAAATTGTTTGCTGAAAATATATTAACTTATTATGCACTCTTTATATTCCTATCATGCTATATTTACAATCTGTATACCCTAAGCAGGGGGCCTAGGAGAATGCATTGTGTCATGGATTCCATTCCTGCCGCAGCAATTGAACCTGGGGGTGCAGCTCCTACACAGACCGAGTTCTCTCTGAACAACATAGATATGTTTCCTTCATTCCCCTTTTTTCGATCAAAATCAAATCGTGTGGAAAATTCCATGTCTGGACCCCTGGCTGATCAAAAGGATGGGATGCTAGTGTTGAAAAACAAGGCTCCCAGGTGGCATGAGCAGCTGCAGTGTTGGTGCTTAAACTTTCATGGACGGGTGACAATTGCCTCGGTTAAAAACTTTCAGCTGGTGGCTTCCGCTGAAAATGGACCTGCTGGACCAGAACATGATAAGATTATCCTTCAGTTTGGAAAAGTTGGGAAGGATTTGTTTACAATGGACTACCGGTACCCTATTTCAGCATTCCAGGCATTTGCAATCTGCCTCAGCAGCTTTGATACCAAGATTGCCTGTGAATGACATGTTTAAACAGGTATTCATTTGAAAGTTCAATATTCTAGTATGAGAAAAAAACATCGATTAGTAGAAAGCTTTAGAAGCTAAGTGTGTTGATAATAATTCTATCAGTAGATCACTGATCGGTTAGTTTATACCAGTCGCACTGAACATGTCAGTGCATAATCTCTCACATGTTAAGGAATCAAGTAATTGAAAATATTCAATGAAAAGTACACCTTTGAATTTTGGAACTGAAAAACTTGACTTTTCATTTGATACTTGTTGTGCTTTACTCTTATTTTGTGATAAGTGGGCAAACAGTGGAGCAGAGCAGAGTGACAGCTGTTTGTCCTTTTGGGCCTAGGTTTCTTGTTTTAGTCGGTTTATTAAATGAGTTGGGCCCAATGGGGGGTGTTAGGCAACGCCCTTGCAGTACAGTACAGGTGTAATTTTGTAAAAGACAAAATTCAAGTGTAGCCAAATTAGAGTTGGTGCTGCTTTTTAATTAGAGTTGGAGTTTTACGTTGATAATATACATAAATGTGTATTAATGATGCCTGTATTAAATATGAGTACACAATATTGAGGTAAAATTTTAACTCTGATTAGAGAGCAACACCAACTGGACGCAAGATATTGTATCTAAATTTTGTCCTTTTGTAAGATGTTTTGTATTCTGTTGATGAGTTGAAATTCATAGTCACTATGCTCCTGAGGGGGTACGTACATTGCCGGTTCTTGTTAATTCTTTTGTGTCTCTGTTTATTTGTTCTTTAAAATTCTGTTGCTGATTTCTCAACAATAGTTGATATTTTTTTACAGTTAACGAGTTTTGCCTTAATTTTTTGGGGTGGCAGCTTTGTGGTTTATATACCTCCAACAGTGTATGTTAATTAAAGGATAAGAGGATAAGACTTTGTTTGAATAGACTTATCCATAAGTATTTATTTTAAAAAAATAATAAGAAGTTTATTTCATATTATCCTCTTATTTTTTGTCTCTCTAAATACTTGTGGGGGAACTTATTCAAACAAAATCTAAAGTTTGTTTAGATACAAGTTAGAAGTGTTTTTGAGAGTTTTTCTATCATAAAATAGGAATATTTTTCGGTAGAGAAGCTCTCAAGTGTTTATAAACTTGTATTTAAAGATACTTCTAAACTAAAACTTTAGTTATTCCAACTAGCATGGTGACAATTATCTCTACTATTCCATTTGTGGTTTCTTGTGTTTGGCAAATGACCAAGTTTGCTTATTGTTTATGGCAGCTTGAATCGAGATTATATAGCTATCTCTTGCTGCTGGGAGAAGTATGGTTTGACTTGAATGTTAATTGTTGGGAAGCTGACCCATGAAAAATGTTTGGATGGGTGTTGAACAGAATTTCGAAGGACACAATTCATCAGCTCTTTGGAAGTTGACATGAAATTGGAATATTACTTGGAATTCTTCCACCCTCTCCCCACAAAACAAAACAAAAAAAAAAAAGAAAAGGGAAAAATACGTTTTTCTGTCCCCCGTGTACATAAATTTTATCTCATTTTTTTTTCCTCAAACAGTTTGGTTGTTTATGGTAATATAGTAGTGGTTGTTTAAAACATGTCTTGTGGGGACATGTTTTGTTAATGCTTTCACGAGAACATGTTTTGTTAGTGGGACTACTTGTAAGGACACAATCATACGCAACTTGCTATCTGCAATTCCTTTCGTTCCGTAATCCACTCTTTCTAGTTGTTGCATGTCACCACGGATATTTGCCACTACCTGTAGGAATAAGCCTTCGATGGAGATTTTTCTATTTGAAAATTATATAAAGGAGATTTGAATATACAATTTTTTTTCTCCTTAAGTATAATCATATTTTAGTGATCCATCAACGCCAAATTATATGTAGGGGTGACACGTCAATCTGTCCTATGTTGACCTGTTCAGTCAAAACTGGACCAGGGCTGTCTGACCCACTTAGCAATGGTGCTGGCCTGCTAAAAAGGAAAAAAAAATTAAATTTTTATTTTAACATCTATTCAAATAGATAAACTTGGTTCAATAGTTTAAAAGTAAATTGACAATCTATCGCGTTTAATTTAAAAGAATTTTTTCTTTCACGTTATTTAGAGAAAAAATTAACTACATTTTATAACTTAATTGTAATTGTAATTTATTACATTTAAGATATCCTTTCTAATGTTAGGTTAACTTTTAAGACAAGTAAAAAATGTTTCCTTAACAAATATTACTTCTTCCTTCTACCTTCCGTCTTATTATTGATTATATTTTAAGATCTTTACACAAATTAAAGGATAATAATAAATGTATCACTTCTCCATGCAATTTTATTAAAATAGTCTATTTTCTTAATAAATATATTATTTTAATTGTAGTGATTAAATAATTTATGAATGAAAAAATAATACATATATATATATTTTATTAAAAAGAGAAAATGTTATTTATTTTGAAACATTTTTCAAACGTTTTTCGAATGTTAAAAGTGTCGATGACAGAGGAGTAATACGTAACATTCGAGTTTCAGACAAAATAATTAACTTTTTATATGAAAAAAGGTGGCCCAAAGCTCTGTCAGGAACTCGTGGGACTGGCCTAGTGAGCCAGCACACTTTAAATATTATTAATGGTGTGTTTGGATAGAAATTTTATATAGGATAATTGAGAAATTTGAAATTTTTCGTATTTGTTTTTCTTATTTCACTTATATATTTTATCTTATCTATGGATCTTCGAGTATCAAGGCAACCTGCCCAATCTGAATCACTAAACGCCTTTAATTGCAAAGTGTTTGAGGCAGGAAAAATCAGTCCAGCACCTGGAGAACTTTTGATATATCTGAGTATTCGAGAGGCAGCTTGTTGATGAGCAGTTGTGGGACGAGCAACAAATTGGCTGAGATTTTGAACTGCATATGTGATGTCAGGTCTTGTATTTGTTAAGTATATGAGTCTTCCAATAAGCCTTCTATAGGAAGAGGCATCACTGTCACAGAGTGGAGAACCAGAATGTTGATGCAGTTTGGTGGTGTAATCATTTGGAGTAGACACTGGTTTAGAACCAATCATTCTAGTGTCACGAAGGATATCTAAAGCATATTTCCTTTTGGCAAAAATTAATGCCAGCCTTGGTTCTAGAAACTTCAAAACCAAGGAAGAACATGAGATCACCAAGATCCTTGATTTTAAAAGCCAAATCAAGCAAATTGGTAATGGTTTTGATTTCTGTCAAGTCGTTTCCTGTAAGAACAATATCATCTACATAGACCAAAATAACAGTAAAAGATTGTTGGTGATGCTTAAGAAATAAGGAATAATCTGTATCACATTGAGTATAACCATGAGAAGACAAGAAAGTTGAAAGTCTAGCATGCCATTGCCTACTAGCTTGCTTTAAACCATATAGTGACTTTTGTAACTTACAAACCATCCCCTGTTTATCTTGATACATACCTCGTGGAAGAATCATATATGTTTCTTCATGCAAATCTCCATGTAGGAAAGCATTATTCACTTCTAATTGCCTCAAATGCCATTGTTGAGTAGCAGCCAAAGCTAACAACAATCTAACAGTAGTTAATTTTGCAACTGGAGAAAACGTATCTAGATAGTCTTGTACTTCTATCTGAGTATATCCCTTGGCCACTAGTCTAGCCTTGTACCTTTCTATGGAACCATCTGCTCTATGTTTTATTTTATACACCCATCGACACCCAATGGAACTTTTATTTAGAGGGAGCTCTGTAAGAACCCAAGTGTGATTTGATTCGAGTGCCTGAATTTCTGCATTCATGGCTTGAATCCAATCAAGATGTTTGGAAGCTTCATGATATGACTTAGGTTCAATTTACTTACTCACAGCTAGAATAACATTTTTATAAGATGGTGATAATCTACTATAGGAAAGAACAGTGTGAAGAGGATATTGTTTACCCGAAGAGTGAGTGGTTACACTTGAGGATGGTAGCGTAACTTGAAAGTCTTTATACTTGCTTGGTATACATGACTGTCTAGAGGATCTTCTTGGAATAAAATTTTCATCAATGGAAACAGGTTCAGTTTGTGGAAATTGTATAGGTTCTGCAGAATTGGTGGCATTATCATGAAACACTAAATCGGGTCTATGCGATGTAGGTAAAATAAACAAAGGATTAGGAGAATTATTTTTGATATAGGAAAAACAATCCTCATAAAATATTACATTTCTAGAAACTGTGATAGATCTATTTTTGAGGTCATAGGTAATGTAACCCTTTGTGTTGGGTTTAAAACCAAGAAAAATAGAAACAAAATGGTATTGTTGAGAGGAAACACCAACATTTGTTAAATGTGACTAGATCATTATTGTTTCAAGCTAATTTGCCACCTGTCTTTTGGTCTTATGCCTTATTGCATTCTGCTCTTCTTATAAATTGCATACCTAGTCCTTTCCTCAATCAATCCTCTCCGTATGAAAAGTTGTTTCAAACCTCATATGTTGTCTGTGCTTTGTAAGCACCTTGACTACACAACGAAAGAAACTTGACCCTAGAGTTGTTACTTCTATTTTTCTTGGTTTTAAACCCAACACAAAGGGTTACATTACCTATGACCTCAAAAATAGATCTATCACAGTTTCTAGAAATGTAATATTTTATGAGGATTGTTTTTCCTATATCAAAAATAATTCTCCTAATCCTTTGTTTATTTTACCTACATCGCATAGACCCGATTTAGTGTTTCATGATAATGCCACCAATTCTGCAGAACCTATACAATTTCCACAAACTGAACCTGTTTCCATTGATGAAAATTTTATTCCAAGAAGATCCTCTAGACAGTCATGTATACCAAGCAAGTATAAAGACTTTCAAGTTACGCTACCATCCTCAAGTGTAACCACTCACTCTTCGGGTAAACAATATCCTCTTCACACTGTTCTTTCCTATAGTAGATTATCACCATCTTATAAAAATGTTATTCTAGCTGTGAGTAAGTAAATTGAACCTAAGTCATATCATGAAGCTTCCAAACATCTTGATTGGATTCAAGCCATGAATGCAGAAATTCAGGCACTCGAATCAAATCACACTTGGGTTCTTACAGAGCTCCCTCTAAATAAAAGTTCCATTGGGTGTCGATGGGTGTATAAAATAAAACATAGAGCAGATGGTTCCATAGAAAGGTACAAGGCTAGACTAGTGGCCAAGGGATATACTCAGATAGAAGTACAAGACTATCTAGATACGTTTTCTCCAGTTGCAAAATTAACTACTGTTAGATTGTTGTTAGCTTTGGCTGCTACTCAACAATGGCATTTGAGGCAATTAGAAGTGAATAATGCTTTCCTACATGGAGATTTGCATGAAGAAACATATATGATTCTTCCACGAGGTATGTATCAAGATAAACAGGGGATGGTTTGTAAGTTACAAAAGTCACTATATGGTTTAAAGCAAGCTAGTAGGCAATGGCATGCTAGACTTTCAACTTTCTTGTCTTCTCATGGTTATACTCAATGTGATACAGATTATTCCTTATTTCTTAAGCATCACCAACAATCTTTTACTGTTATTTTGGTCTATGTAGATGATATTGTTCTTACAGGAAACGACTTGACAGAAATCAAAACCATTACCAATTTGCTTGATTTGGCTTTTAAAATCAAGGATCTTGGTGATCTCATGTTCTTCCTTGGTTTTGAAGTTTCTAGAACCAAGGCTGGCATTAATTTTTGCCAAAAGGAAATATGCTTTAGATATCCTTCGTGACACTAGAATGATTGGTTCTAAACCAGTGTCTACTCCAAATGATTACACCACCAAACTGCATCAACATTCTGGTTCTCCACTCTGTGACAGTGATGCCTCTTCCTATAGAAGGCTTATTGGAAGACTCATATACTTAACAAATACAAGACCTGACATCACATATGCAGTTCAAAATCTCAGCCAATTTGTTGCTCATCCCACAACTGCTCATCAACAAGCTTTAGTGGAATCAAATTATCATATTCAACTTAACGATTTAAATTTTAAGAAATTTGAATTGACTCATCTAAACAAAATATTTTAATATTTTAATAATGATAGAAATTGAAATCAAAGTAATTCAAATACCAAGAATTTAAAATTCCTTGAATTTGTAAAATTTCTTGAATTTGTAAAATTCCTCATCCAAATACACCATAAAGATTTAATAAGGTCAACAAGTCAAAATCATTGATTTTTATTTTATTTTTATCAAACACTATCCTTCGAACATGTTCTCTTGATAAACAAGGGTATATATACCTTCATTTAAGTTAAAAGAAAAAGAAAAGAAACTGTAAAGTCAAGGGATTTTTCACTTAATGATTAGGATTGTAATAAAATATAGATATGATTACATTTTTAATCCTTGAAGTTCACTTCAATTTCAATTTTGAATGTCTCAAAACACTTACCCTTCAAAGGAAAATCATTAGGACTGATGTTCGGTACCTACTGGAAATAAAACCTCAATAGAATAAAATTATACTGACTAAAATAGTAAAATCTAAACAAAGTGAAAGGGATGGAAATCTAAACTTGTAAATTTATAGATCAAAAACCAAATTTTTATAGTATATAGGGCAACACCAAAATTAAGGTAAATTATAGTGATGAAAAACATATTTATTATTGATACAAACTCAATCATTGATTAAAATAACTATAATTGCAAGTTATCATGAAAATTTTATTTACTTATTTTAGGAGCAAACAAATCATTAAGCCATTTAATTCTAAGAGATCGGTTAAGTGGAGTAAGATAAAATTTTACATTTGACAGGTCATTGATTAATCTCCACTTATCTTCTTAAAATGAAAAAAGATGAAAATTCTCTAAAGTATCCTTTGAGTAAAAAAGCTTTCTTTCCTTTAAACAGGGCACCATCCCATCCCCTAAAGTTTTAAGTATCAAAAAATCCCAAATAATTTCATCAAGAAAAAAAAAAAATCTTAAGTTCGTGATTAGTTTATTTTAGGCCAAATGATCTTTTCAACTAAAATTTCTTCTTGAACATTTGCACTGTAATCTAAAAGACCCATTAATTTGTTTTCAAATCAACTTGATATGCAACAAAGAAATTTTCGTCTTGTAGCAGAAATCAACTTGAGGAGGTATATGGAAACACTGCAATATCAGCTCTGTAACTTTGTTGCTTTCATGAATGAAGAACGAAGCACCAGGATAATTGCAAGGCAACAAAAAGTCATAAATTGATTCCTCTTGGTGCAACTATAATTGTTGTCCTTGGGGATGGGAGTGAGAATTAGAAAAACAGCTAGAGAATTTTTTTGCTTCATTCCATCTGATATTTTAAAATAAGAAACAAACTAGAAGACATTCATTATGTTTCCTTAAAAGTTAAATATACCTTATAACCTTCAAAGTTATTTTTGCCAATTCACGATAAATATAAGAATTTATAACTAATAGATAGAAAAAATATTATTCGAATCCCTTTCTATTTGTACAAATGGTAAAGGAACTCACCGATGATTATTGATAATAAAAATAAATTTAAAAAAAGAAGAGAATTTGGAATCTTTACCATTACCAACTAGATCTTGTTGCCCCTAGCACGAAACATACAATAAGCATTTTATGAAGTATGTATTAGATAATCCAAATTCTCGATAATTAACTATCGATCTTCTATTATGTGACAACGATTCTAATTTTCTATGAATTTTTCACGTATCAATTAATGACAAAACTTTGATTATTTCTTTTCTTATAATTAACGAATTAAGTGATATTCTTGTTTAATCAAATGATGTATTGAGAAGTTAAAAAAGAACGCTTATTAAACAAAACAATATTGAATATAAATGTACACATGAGCACAAATGACAAAAAGCTAATCTGCCACCCACCTTGGCTACATTATAAGGAATAACTATGATGTCTCAGCATGAGGATATACCAAGAAAAGGGATCCTCATCTTGTGCGTACAAAATAACCTGTCCACAATCTCATCCCATGTAAGGGTATAACTAATTGTTATATACATAATTATCATACATTACAAATTTACAACCATTAGGCTGCTTGCATGCTCACGCTTGCTTCATGGCTCATAACAGCAGATTCAGCACCTTCTTCCTCCTCAGTAGGTAGATCATCCGAGTGAAGTTCTGGTTGCTTAAGGCTCCGGACAAACTCAGTGAATGAAGGAAAATGCTCTGGAGAAAAGAAAGATGCTCCCATTCTATGATATGTGAACAACTCCAATACATTATCCCCAGACAGATTCTTCTTAATTTGTTCAAAACCCCCTGCAACACCAGACTCAGAAGAATTTTGACCTGAAACCTTGACCTCATGCTTTTTGCAAGCTGCCATGATTTGTGCAAGTAGCAACTCAGGGCTAGAATGGTTTTCCTTTGGTTGGTTCACATCCGAGAGGTCCATGCCGGGTAATATCATTTTGCATGAGTTCCTAGCAAACATCTGTGCAACAGGCACATAGCCATCCCTGCTAGCTGTGTTATAGAACCCTGCGGTTAGCTCCGCAGGATGAGATCGAGTTCCATACCAAGAGTGCATGAGTGGGATTTTTCCATGGATTGTCACTCCAGAGTCACCAAAAGTAGCAGATGCTAATGAAAGGAGGTTGTCTCCATGAGTTATGAGCTGATTGGAATACCAAGAAAGGAAGAAGTCCCCATATGTGGACTCCCAAGAACCCCCATCAGTGAAGAAGCCATTGGAGTATGGGAAGTGGTTATAGGTTGGTGCATCATGTGGACCACCAAGCCCCCACAAAGGGTTTCCAGATGCTTCAGCATGTTGCTTGAGAAAGCTGAGCATGTTTTTGTCATAACACTGAAATTCCCCAGCTCCTTGAGTACCATTACTTGGTAGCTGGTGGTGAGATGGATAACGTAGTTCGCCATCTGGTCCTAAACCCATGGAAATGCTCTGCAATATGGCAAGAAATGAGGAAATTGTCAGAGTCATATATAACCTAAAAGTGGATATTACTATTAGCATACATAAATGGTAAAATTTTACTTCTTGACATTCCTGAGGTTTCATGAAATTACACTAATACTTCCTACTTTTTTAACGTTTAAAGTAATCTCCCTTACAGTGTAATGTTTTACAAATAATTAAGGGGGTCACAACCTCACGGTACAATGTTTTTCAAATAATTAAAAGGTTAACGCATTATTTAAAGGGTATCAGTATAATGTTTTTCAAACAATTAAGAGAGGTTATCATAGCAGTATAAAAAGTAGGGAGTGCTTGTGCAATCAGAGGTGTCGCTGTAATTTACTCTAAATGGTACTGGAGTCCTGAAATTTTACCGTGATTGTAGAGCCCATGAATGGAGAGAATGAAGATTTGAAGCTCTCGCAGAAACTCTGGTACACTTGGACTGGAGTCTTCCCATCAAGAACAGGAAGATTGTCAACTGCCAAGGACAGGCATTCCTTATAATGCTGTCCTGATTTATCTGTGAAGTAAATATTGGGTTGAGATTCACCAATCTGGGATACCCATTTAGGTAGGGGGATATTTGGTTTTTTAGACCCATTAAAGCAGAGAGTCACATGGAGCTTGAGACCCACTTTCTGGACCATCTCAGCAATAGCAAGATAGCCTGACCAGTCATATTCTCCCATGGCATCTTTCTCAACAATTCCCCACCAAATAGGGAGCTCAACACCTTCAACTCCTAACAGCTTCAAAGCTTTTAAGCCAGCTGCAATTGCTCTAGCATGGTTTATTGAATTGCAGTCATAAGAAACTGTATCCAGAGGCAGCCCCACAAATAATCTTACACCATCTACCTGCAACATAGTATTTTCAGCATGTCAGTTACCTTCCAATGCCTTGAGATTCACACAACATAACAAAACTAAGTGTATTTCACCACTTAAAATATAGCATAACTGCATCATGAGATTTGAATGAAGCATAATAACAAACTCTTACTAAGAGAGATGCAGTACCTAGTTCCTACATCTAGAATTTACTAAACCTCTAGCATGTAAATCCCCTTCAGAATTCAGAAACTAGTCTCTCTATCTCATTCATTAATGCAATCAGAGTTTACAAAATTCATAGTTTCTCCTTACGATTGTGACGAAAATAGGTTATGCATTATCAAGAAAATCTCCCCGACAAAATGTAACGGATCAGGATTAATTTTTGCCAAAAAATTACCCTAAAAAATAAAATAAAATAAACCGGAAAAACACTCATCAAATTCATCAGATGACAATTTCAAGGAAACATTATCACACCATAAATATATTAAAATTCTAAAACAGGATTAACTTCATTATTTACCCCAACTATGTAAATGAAGAATTTTACAAGCTAATTTAGCCACCCTTAATATTTTCACATAATATCAAGCAAACAGATAAAAAGTTCAAGTCAAACCAATTACAAAAAAAGTATTATTAATTAATTGATTAATTAATCCTTTCCGTCAGAATCATATCAAACACAAAATAAATTCCCAATTTCCCCCAATAGTATCCCACCAACCAAACACTACACATAACATCACATGAAAAACAAAACATAAAACTCACCGATTTGGATTTCGTTCCAGACCCAGAAAGCTTCTTCTCCTCTCTAACGGGTTCAGTATGAACAGCCCTCAAAGTAAAGCTTAAACCAACCTTCTTCCACCGTATATTCCTACCAAAACTAACTCTATCATTCAAAACCCTGAAATTGTTCTTCAGATTACAAAAACCCTGTTCCCTATTTGCCAAATCGGACGCTCCTAGCTTCGCTTGAGAGCTCCCAATCACCGAAACCTCCATGGCCAACAACAACAAATCACGAAATAATCACACCAAAAAACCCTTCACCAAACGAATAAAAAATCGACTCTTTTGAGGATACCCACTTGAGGTTTCCAAAAGAATTTGCGCAGAAAATAGTGGGATTCGAGGAAAGGATAGATTTTGAAGATGGGAAAAATAGAAGCGAGCACGGTTCATATATAAGGATGTGGAGCCTCAAACGCGCTTTTTCATTTATTATTTTTTCTTTTGCGACCAGTAAACGAAAGAGAAATATAGCTTGCACAAAAAGTGACACGTGTCCTCATCGTAGGATAGCCGCAGAATACTATTGCTGATTTATATATATATAATCAAAATATTATGGACCCCAAACAAATCATCATCATTTTGGTCTTATAATTATTATAAAAAAAATACATAAATTATATAACAAACAATATAACAATATTCATAAAAATGCATCATGTGTCGTAGATGAGATGGATATGGCTGAATTCAAGGCTAACACATGTATGTAGATTATTGTATTATGTATTATTATGAAAAGAAAAGAAAAATTGGTTGTATACTATTTAAGTATTTAAATTTGTGGTCTTTAATTGTTTACTTAGAATGGTAATATGTTTGAAATAAATACTATAATAGAGATGATGTTGGGACCGACACAGGGATAGTGCATACATCCCAATCCAGTCACATAAAAGATGTTACATCAGCTATCCAAACCGAATTAATTATGCATGAATTTTTAACTGTTGATTTATTATGGTTTAATTAATTAGTGTGTGTATGTGGAAAAAATGGCAAGTGGCAATTGGTTGTAGAAAAGTAGGTGCGTGAAGGTAAAGGGACAGAATTAAGAGTCACAGATTGAATGATAGGTTGTGGATGGGCATCACGCGTGGAGCACACAAATAAGTCAATGCTGCGTGTGTGCTGACTCATATTTTGGTGCTCTGTTGTGTGGTTTGGGGTGTGTAGGGTCTTCACTTTCAGAATCAGATCCACTTCATTGGTCTGCGTTTCAGGATCTGCTTCTGCTTCTGCAGTTCTGGTTTTGGATCCCTCTTCATATATGACTCGGATCACAGTGTGCACTTTCTGGATAAGAAAACATTGCCCTAATGCCTTATCTTAATTTTGTGACCTGGATCAACTACTATAATATAATATTGTTCCAGTTTAATTATTTATCTCAAACTTTATTTTTTTTAATAGCATTAGTCCACACACACAGAATTAATTCTAAGAACATCATATTGGCTCATATATATGTTATAGGAACATATTTTATAATAAAAAAACTTGATTTGTTGATCTCAAATTCAAATATTATATATGTAGCTGTCTTAAATATTTAAAATAAGAATTTTGATATTATCTATAATAATTTTATAAAAATTATTGTTTCCGATCCTATTATCTAGTTTTGGTTACAGACAAATCTTGCAAGGAGACACGAGATTGTTTTATTGGTTAAACAAACATGCACCATAACACATGTTGTTCACATATATATGTTGTGATACAAGTTGAACTGAAATCTTTTACGTGGACCTTGTAGCTTGCCATGCTCGAAAGCCCCTCTTGTTTCTGAAATATGGATAAGGACGTAAGGTGATGGAAGATTTACACAACTGGTGATAGCGGTGGCAAGTGGTACTAGAAACTACTCAGGATAATGGTTTCGATGAAATTAAGTGTATGGAGATGCATATATATAGTTGGACCATCATCAATCAGATTCGGTGAATAGTGATAACTGATAAGTGTTTTTGTGGGACTATTGTTGTTGTAGTATTAAATAAGTTAATGTTTGCTGACTTATTAACTAGAAAATGAAGCTGACTAATATGAACATCAGAATTTAATTCTAATTAAAGTTTAAATGAAGAACTTGTATATAATATTTAAAATTATAAGAGGTCTAATTCTTAATTATTCCAAATAATACTATTATAACTCCAGATTGAGGAGTTGACCTCTTTGCATTTTAAAAATACCCCTTTATGAAAAATATCATTTTTTGCAAATAACAATTTTTTTTCTTTTATGTAGTGGCTCGTTTTTGTTTTATTTAGTTTGATATATCATTCTGCAATTGAAATTATTTTTTTATATATATAAATAAAAGGGAAAAGGCGATATACGATTTGAATTCGTCAAACATATTATATTTTTTTGAATAATTCTTCAAAAATATCGTAAAGATAACATTTTTTTAATCTGTTAGTAGGTATAAAGTTTGATTTTGTTACAAACTTCTGGTAACTACATATAACAATAAATACTGTAATATTGTGCAATAATTATAATAAAAACAAAAATAAAATATTGATGTGTTAGAGAGACACAATCCCTACGAAAACCAACCAAAAGAGTACACGATTCTACATATATAATATATGAGAAGTAATGAGTGATAATTGATAAGAAAGGCAGAAGTTGCTTCTTCGATTGAAAATTTGCTAAATATTGATGAGCGGTTGGCTTTGTCTTGTTGTTTTTATTTTCTTCCAAATTTTATGACTTTTGGAGAAAGAATTACTTAGAGCCTGAAAAATTGAACAGTGTCTTGTAATTTTGTAGCCGCTACATTGTTTGGATAAAATTCGAGTGGTGTTAGGTTCATAAAGTTACGTGTCATGACCGTAGACATGATAAACGTGTTTTTTTTTTGTTTGATAGGTTCATTGAGTACGAGGAAAAAATGTGGGGTGAGAAATTGAGAACCGGGAAAAACCCTAAATTTAACCATGGTTACCCCTTGTTGGTCCCAAAAGAAAAACATTTTTCTTAGATTCACCATAGTACCTTACTCTTAGAGATTCAAAATCTTTAGTTACTTATATATAATATAATTAGTCGTAGAAAAATTCTCAAAAATATTTTTAATTTTTATCAATAAACTCTAAGTCTTCTCGTGTATATGACTCAAAATGTAAACTTATTTTTATATAATTTTTCTGTCAATTTTATATTATTGAGTTCTCTCGAGTTTTTCAATTTTATTATTTTTCATTTCATACATGTTTTCTAATATGAAAGTGTAAAAGAAGGAAAAATTCTTTCCGCTACGTAAGTCATAAGCTCATGTTTTCCATTTCCCCGCATTCTTCTTTCATAATGCATCCAAATACTTGTCAATTTTTTTCTAAAATTCCTAATTTTTCTTGTAATTTTTTTTTTATGGTTAGAAATGTCTATCAAAGATATGCAATTATGGAAAAAGAGTCATGACAATCTACTTTAATTTCTTTAGCACCTTTGTGAAAAACATGGTTATTTGCAATGGAAACAATAATCTAAATATAAGAGTAGAATTGTAAGGATATCGAATAAGTCATATTAAAAGCGATACTAAAAGCTCGAGAGAATTGGACACTCTTAAAATTTTTTTACTCTTTTAATTTATAAATGATTTTAATTTTTCATATTATCATTCTTTCACTCTCATTATAAAAATTATGTTATGTAATTTTATATTTATGAACTAATTTATCAGTTAATTTTGTTAAAATTTTAAATTCAATCAGCTAATTTAATAATTTATAATTTTCAACTCAGCTTATAACTTATAAGTGTTAAATTAATTTAAAAGTTAATTTTACATTTTAACTCATAATTACAAATCGGTTAATTGTATTAGTAAGTACATTGTCACAAATTATTAAGCAAACTTTTGATAGGAAATTCAATTGTATTTGAGATTTGCGAGGCTCTAACTATAGTCACTATCACTAATTAAAGATAAGTTGTTTTTAATAAAAATATTAATGTTTTTTGGCTTAGATTTTGTGCAGTTGTTTATAGAAGCGTAAAGAAACCTGATCCTTTCTTTTGCAAAGGAATTGAATGTTGTTGTTCATGTTTTTGTCATAATCGAGTGAAAGGAGAATTGGGCTAATGGCTTCGCTCAAATCTCAATCAATGTAGCTTCGAATTTTGGTTTCATAAAGAGCAATGCATGCGTTCAATATTCTTTACATAAGAGTTTGAATTATTCCTCTTATGATAGTATTAATTTATTTTATTTCAGCATTATTATTTGTATACAGAAAATCAAACAATGATGCGTTAGTAAGAGAAAATTGGGTCCTGCAGTATATATTTTGACTTATTTTAATGTTTTTTGACCAAATCTGTTGTCTATGCTTGTCAAACAACACTGCATTCCATGACTGCCACTACTGGTATTGGTTGAGAAAAAACAACTTATTTATTTACAGGGAGAAGAGAGAAATGAGTTAGAGAGAGAAAATATTTTTATTTTTTTAAAATATTAAATTATTATTCAAATTATTTAAATCAAGCAGAGTGAATGGTTTTGTCCTAAAATTTGGCAAATTTATTTATATATTAAAGAATTTTAATTCAATAATTGTTAAAATTTTATATAGAACATATGACTTGTTGAGTAAAATAAGTTGTTTAAATAAATTTACTCTTAAAATAAATAAATCTTTTCTTTTATATATAAGGAGAGTTCAAACAATGATGTAACTATTACATCGTTTAATAACTTTTTCGTTTAAATGTGAATTTTTCAAAATTTATTAATAAATTGAAAGTTCCTTACTCTTAAATTATATATACAAATTTTTATATTAATTCAATATGATTTGATAATTTATTCTTATAAAACAAAATTGACCTAGTATATTCATTTCAAAATATACTAAAATATGAACGTTTTAATTACCTTTAAATTATTGTTCAATTTTAACAATATTTAATAAAAAGATACAAAGTGATATGAAGTTATAATTCAATAGTTCAATTGACAAAACTCACATTTAATATAAAATTATTTAATGGTATAATAGTTAGTAAAAATTACATAGATATAATTTAAATCCTCCTTTTTCTCTTTCTGTATATATACTAGAAGGATCGAGATATTTTGTACCTCTAATAGTTACATTTTTTTATATATATTTTTTCCATTTTATCCTTTATCTATAAGGAGTTATGACATAACCAAATGAGCAAAAAAGTCCAAAAAAAATGGAGACGAAAGCAGTTATTTAAAAATGTATTCCTTTTATTACTAGTTATATATATATATATATATATATAACTCATGTTCTACGTTAATTTTTAATGATCCAATCGTTAAATTAAAAGTTATTAATACATAGATCATGTCTGCAAAGTTTTAGAAAAATTTAAAAAGTATTTGATATTTTGTTTCATTAATTTAAATCAATATATAAAATATTTTTTAATATTATTGGTTAATTTGAATTAATAAAACAAAATATTTAGTAATTTTAAAAATTTTGTAAACTTAATTTATGTATAATTAGATTGTTAAAATTTGATATAAAATATGAGTTATTAAGTAAAATAAGTCTAAGTAAACTTGTTCTTTGAATAAGCGAATTCATTCTCTCTCTATTTATATATATATAATATAATTTAACATATTTTTATTTTAAAACTGTCAATTTTTATTTATAGTCTTTAAACAATTTTTTTTATTAGTTATAGTACATGAACTTTTGTTAATTTTTATTTTTAATCCTTAAACTTTTGTTCCATTAACATATTTGGTCTTCGACATTAAAATATTTTATTTTAAGAAAGAAAATTTAAGAGACTAAAATTAAATAAAATTTGTTTAGTACTAAAAATAAAAGTCGACAGAATTCAAGAATTAAAAATATATTTATTTATTTAAAATATTTTTCATATGAAATTTAAGAATTGATGTATTTTATAAACTATGTTAGTTTTAAGAAAAGGGTCTAAAAGAACACAACATATCTGTTTGATACATTAAACTTTATTATTTTCAAAATATTTAAATAAAATAATATGTTTTTTTTATTTCATTTCTTATCCTTAAGGACAGGCATATTGGACATTTCATAAGGGTGCCCATGGCGTATAGAACATTCAGACGATATATACGAATTGAGACGACAACACAATTCATAGATCAAATTCAAATATTCAATCATTCATGTGAACACCTTGACATGCAAACGTGACTCACTTGTCCATGTCTACACATATTTTTATTTTATTTTTCATGCATAAAATATATGAAATTATGGTTAGACTTCTTGTTTTCTTGATTTAATTTCGACCGTATTTAGTTTATTTTTGTCAAGTTGATTTTTTTTAGTAATTTAACCATTGATTTTTATTTTTTTTACTATCTCAACAATTATGTATACCAAATTTTAGATAAATCATATGTTATAAATTAAACTGAATTTATTTTATGAGTGTCAAATAAATTTAGCATTTCATAAAAATTCGTGGGTAATATTTTTCATTAATTACGTGTGTGTATAATTCATTTGATGTCTTATTTGAATTTAAATTCTAATATATTTTTAAAATTTTAAAATTATTTTGGATATAAAATCATATATTTATGTATGTTTAATTTATCTAAAATTATGATAATCCATACATGACAATTATATTCTGGGAAAAGTTATTAAATAAAGTAAATATCTCATACTTATTTTAAGAGAATGTGAATCAATTTTCTTATTTTTCTTTTAGAATAATCTTATTGGAAACCCAATCAAACATTAAATATGAATATTTTTTCCTACAAAATTTCAAAGTTTTAACTCATCACATTATATGATACTATTATCTCATTAGACATAAACCTATTGGTGATTTATTTATTTGTTATTCTTTTTTTACCAATAAGGAAGGGGCAGTAGAGTTGTTTTAGCTGAACACTGGAAAAGTTAGGATTTGAACGATGCTAATTAGTAATTAATCTTATGAGAGATTCCAAATAAATAGTAACGTGTGCGCTTATCTCATAAATCTTATTTATTTTAACATTTATGTATTCTCCAAAGCCATTTGACACATTTTACTTCAATAAAACAGAACTCATGTTTTACACGTCATAGATTATTATAATTTTTTTTTAAGATAAGAAAGATTATAAAGATAGTCACAATGAAAATTAAACTTAGATTCTTATATTTTTAACTATCCTAATATTTTTTTACACAACTACTAAGTTAACCTTAGTGGTCGGATTACTATTATATGATATAGTATATTTGTTTTTTGTTTTTGGACAATCGATATAGCACATTTGTTAATCATAGAAGACCGTTTGCCGCTGCAAAATACATTAGATCATTAGTATAGTAGTGAGGATTATAAGCCTATAGTCTATTTACCAATGCATATTTGTTAAGTCATATAGATAGCCTTATAGCATTAGCCCAGGATGTTCAAGGTAAATTTTGTCTTTCCAAAATTTACTTTATGAATATAATTTATTTTCTTTATAAAAAAAAAAGAGTACAAAAACTTTAAGAATAAAACCCACAAAATCTTGAAAAATATTCACATTTACATATAAAATGCGATTCTATTCTGCTTTATCATCTAAATAATATTTTCTTCTACATTTACTTTTCAAAAACTATTCTCAAATATTAATAAAATTTTCAACATAAATGATTTTAGTTTTAATATTTTTTTTAAGATCAATTTTACCAAAAGTTAAACCAAACTAACCATTTATCAATATATTTCAATTTGCTAATGAGCATGAGAAATAGAAGTATCAAAATGAGTTCAATCTAATGAGTTAATGTACATAATCCATTATGTTCAGTATCAATTTTTTAATGTAATTTTTTTTTCTCTCCACATCCAAATGTCTAATTTACATGAAAGCTACTATTTATTATTTTAAATTGAACGTAAATAATTATGTTAAAGATGTGAATGTAAACAAACTTTCAAAATGATTAGTTTAAGTCACAATGTGCTACACTTTTTAACCTTCAACTCACACAACATAACTTGTCAATCCAACTACAATGAGTTAAATAATAGATTGGGTTGAATTAATTTGTTGGATTGACTTATATTTTTCTTTGACTTAAACTTAATGATATTGATTTGTAACATTTTATTGTGTTTCATTTGTTTATTAAGACTTATTTATGATTAAATTGTGTATTTATTTTATTATTGTTGATGATTTATTAGGTTCATGTCACCATTAAACATTTAATTCATTTTTAATTTTAGAACTTTCTCTCATTTTTTAACTATATTTTATCATAAAATTAAAATTTTTAAGACAAATAAAACGAAATAATACATAACTTTTTAAAATAAATTGATGAGACAACACAACTTGGTCCATATTTCACTATAGGTTAAGCTTTTCAATCTAATAAAAAATGAATTCAATACAATTAAATCTGTTTTGTAATAGATTAAGTTGGAGTAAGTTAGGTTGAATTGACCTATTTAATAATCTTAAAGTAGTAAGCATGATAATAGAAAGACTGACCGGAGAAATATACAAAATTGAACACGTAAAATTTATTTATTTGAAATTGTTTAACATGAAAAGCCCACTTTTTCTCCTGTTATGAGTACCCTCCATAACATGGATACACTCTGATAACCTTTTGGTCCAAATTATAAGATCTCCTGCAGTCACAATGAACATAACGTTTCATAACTTCAGAAAATCCTTTGGTCTGCATTTGTTGCCGTTGGTTAGCATGCATGAATCTATGCACCAACCAAAAATAGAGTTGGTTGTAAGTGCATGAATTACTATAGACAGACTGCCAATAAAATTACGTATTCTTCCTTAAGGAGGTGGAGGTCCTGGTGGGCCACTAGGACCGGGAGGTCCCGGTCGACCACTAGGACCCGGAGGTCCACCAGGAGGTACTGGTGGCCCACCAAAAGGCCAATCAGGAGGTCCCGATGGGCCACCAGGAGACGAACCGGGTGGGCCAGGAGGCCAAAAAGGGTCAGGAGCTGCTGGTGGTGGCAGCGGAACAGGAGGTTTAGGAGGGCCAGGCACAGGCGGCAGACCAATGGGATCTGATGGAGGTGGAGGTGGAGGTGGAGCCGGAGCCGGAGCTGGTGGTGGTGGTGGTGGAGCTGCTGGAGTAGGTTGTGGTTCAGCTGGTGCACCAAAACAGTCTTGTAGCAACCAGCAACAGCAAACTACGTAGAAACTGTCAAAACACAAAATTGGAAATATGATGAATTTCTCACTTCTTGCCTCATTAACTTGAAAAAGAAAAATGTTAGCAACACTACATTGTTACTGTGCACAATCTCAAATAATTTAATAGCGAGATCCACATGAAATTTCACCATAATAGAGTCAAAATTAGAGTATTGTTTCTCTTGAAATTGCAGATAGGAAGAAAAGAAGAGAGAGTTTTATTTTGTAATGCTAATTGTTATTTATACATTGTAGGCCTTAGTGAAGAGAAAGAAACATGTTACCAACCAAGAAGATACGGTGCTACAGAGTCCATTGAAGAAGTTGCCAAGAACGGAAGGTGGTCCGGGCCATGAACCTGGATAGTTCGGGGATGGTGGACTCATTCTTAGTTTTCAAGAACTTGAAAGCTTTAAGCTTCCAAGCTGAAGAAGACTCAAACACTCCTATTTTATTTTTACTACTGCTATGAATATCACTTCACTTGTCCTAATGAAAAGGGAAGGCTAAGATCTTTAGACCTTCAGCAATATATAATAAATACAAGTGGAATCTAATGAAAAATAGAGTGGTGGCTGCCACGTGTTCTTAAACACCTTAAAAAAAACAAGTGGAATCTAACTGTCAAAGCCAGCTACAACTATTATTCCATCTACCCTTCGGTCTTAGAAATATAAATGGCAACAAATTTTGGACAAAATGTTTCAGTGTACAAGTTAAGAAATGAGCATGATGAAACTTGACGCAGAATGGTAGTTCAACTCGGCCTAGACACGTTATGCTAGTGTCTCATCCCACACCAACTCAAATAGAGAATGAGAAATTCAAAAGTGGGAAAGAAAGTAAGATGGCGTCGCTGAAAGGCGTACATAGTAGTCAATAGGTAAACGTTTATTTAATGTGTAACTTAATCGTAGGCAATGCATTTTTCATAATATATAGGTTCAATTTAACTTCATATATTTTGTAGTTCATAAACAACCTTCTTAAGCATTGCATATTTGATGGTTAACTCCATCTTACACTTAGTTTGATCTCATTAAAAACACAGGAATAACTTTAGTAGAAAATTAGCCATTAAAAACTATACAAAATCTCTCAAAAAGTAGATAGTCGATAAATTATGACATTGATGCCAAAAACAAAAATCAACTATAATCATTGATTAACGCGCGTGCACAATAAAGCAGAAAAACTATATATTTCTTCCAACGAGAACCCAACTCATGTCACATCTTGGGTTTTCTTTTCTCACCCAAGCCAAAATATTACCATATAATTCCAATTTTCACTTTTAGATTCTATATCAGTGCCACGCCCATCCAGTGATCCAAAGGCAAACGTAATAATAGATAAGAAGTTGACTTTTATGATGTTTCTCCCAAATAACCATATCAACAAAAGGGTAATATTTTACTAATGCAATCGGGTACTATATCACTATTCATTGTCAAATGACACAATCACAATGCTTCCTTTGAGATAATGCACAAATAAATAATAGGGAATCGTATGAAGAAACCAAAACTCGCAAGCTGTGTATAAGTACTGCACAGTTCACAGGCTTCTGAACATTATAGATTAAACTGGGGTAAAATAGGGAGAAAGATAAATCACCAACACTGTTCCCAAAACCTATTTATTAGATGTTCATCTAACCTATTTAAACTTTTAAGTTCAAGAAGAAAAAATTAAGATATACAACATAGAGAATAAACCTCTGATCATTACTAAGGAAATGAGAGGAGGAAAATACAATTTGGTTTACCTCCAATGCCAATGGCTTTAGCAATTAGAGGGCAGATATCAACTCAGCAACATTTGCAGCTTCATCATGAATACTCCTAAAAAATGATTGGTGTTATACTACAAGAATATTTCTTTGACTCTAGATGCATTCTTATCTGTGAGTCCTCCTTTGATTGTATATGTCCATCACTTGCCAGGTTTCTTCTTTCTCCTTGGCGCACTCACCGCAGCAGGATCTACCAATGGGCCAGACCAGGTTTGGAAATTTGCTTTAGGCTGTGAGAAGTTTGTGGAACTAAATGGAACATCAGGAGGATCAAAAACTGGATCCATGTGATGTGAAGAACCCAAAGGATAGCCTAGAGCTCCATCTTGGTGGGGAGGAGGAAACTTCTCACTCTTGCTCTTAGCATTTGCATGTGTGATCAGCCGACGTCTCTGTAGTAAAAGCTAAATATTAACAATGTTCTATATGAAGGAATTGATGTTTCTAGTTTCTACATTATTTGAGGCAGCTAGATAAAAGTAAAAGTTAAATTTTTCTCTTAGAATGTGGGCTTAGGGCTTAACCTCATGCAAACTCTTCTAAATATGTAAGCAACAATAAATGAATAAAACTAATAACTTGTAAGAATAAATAAAAGAAGTCTCAGACTCAAATAAGCATCCATGAAGATTGCATGCAACCAATAGAAAAATAAATAAGAAATGCATATTGTTGTATTGGTAAGTTGAAACCTACACCATTCTGCTAATTGATATTGTTAATATCACATCAATTATAACTCATAATAAGAAATACTAGCTGGAGTGACTTAAGTGCCTTATCAGACATACATCAATATTTGCTTGCAGCTCAGCATTGGCCTCTGGAACTGGAATGCCCCTCCCAACTCGCTCGCGTGGACGCGATTTCTTGACACCGGTAGCATTAGCTTTACCAGCTGCTCTCAATCTACAGTCATGATAAATTGAAATTAAATACTGAAATGTGTGCATTTCATTTAATCGTCTGAAAAGATATATCTCTGCTCCCTCCTCCAATATACATGTGGAGAAAGTGAAGATGGAGAAGGATAACTGAATTATATATACATGCCAACTTCCTCAATTAAATAAAAGAACAAGAAGATGATCAACACCTAACCAACATGAATGCATTTTGGTTAACTTCTATGAGAATAAGGGTTTTATCAGACTTCTGATGAGATGATCATTTAGGTGACAAAAGTAATTTAAGCCACCTTCTAGCTTCTTCATCCCGTAGCTTTGCATCCATCTCCTTGCTGGGAGGATATTTTGGAAGGCTAGAGGGCTCACATGCATATGGTTTTGTTGTAAAGAACTGCAAAAGAGAAGCCAAAACCATTAAATCAGGACCCTTACTTCCAATTTATTTAAACACTATGAGGATTGTAAGTATAGTTTTAAAACCCAGCTCGGACCGGCTAGTTGGACCGGTCCGACCAGGCCCCGGTCATACAAGTGGTTCAAGTTGACAATTGGATCGGTTGTGCTACTGACTCAGTATTGATATCATCAAAACCGGCATAAACTCGGTATAAACCGGTGTTCACTCAGTCCGGACGCACCTGTTTTTTCCGGATTTGAGGTTGCATCTATACAGCTTCTCTCGAGAGTCCCACCTAGCTAAGACACGTGCAGTTCTCTCGAGACTCCCACTTGCATGTTGCTCTTGTCTCGAGACTTGCTATATGTCTGCATTTGGTCCTGCCTCCTAGTGGTGCTTTTACTTAAACTTTTAGTAAAATGTAAAAGAATTGTCACCAGCAGGAAACAACCCAAGGACAAGTGTGTAGGAGAATTTACTTAACCACTAAACAATGTGAACCTTTGAATATATGTTGGACAAATATAATATATATATATATGAAATTATATTTTGTTTACACCAGTTCATGCGATTTAACTACAGATACACTGGTTTAACCAGTGACTCACTAACTCAGTACCTCCACCGAGTCAACTACCGATCCGAGTTTTAAAACATTGATTGTAAGCACAATTTTCATCCTCTCAAATTTCAAACCGTATACAATTAAAACGTTGACAACATATAGCACTATAACTATTGCTGTCATTTCCTATGACTAAGAAGCAAACCTGACCCCATTTCTAGCTTATTATAGAGTTGAAAATATAAAAACATTTGTTCTATTTGTCACTTAAAGAGGAGGGGGGTGGAAACAATCAAACTCATTGAAGAGAAGCTCAGTAGTTGACACATCAATAGGCTCAATTAAGTTAGTTTACCATAATTTCCAAACAAAACATTACATACTAAGTCAAGATTCATTGCTTAACGACCAAAACCATGACAATTCAAAAGTCAGATAACTATGCCTACAAGAGCATATTTTATAAAGATAAAACTTCACAATCGCTACTTGCTAGTATTGATATAACCAAAGCAAGGGCAAAGAGTAATAAAACAGAGAACCATGATAAAAACTTGAGTTAGATAAGTATCCTACACCCAGTTTTGGTAAATTAGTACACAAGCACTACAGATGGACACAGGAAACTAGAGCCAATCAGGTTTAGTGGTTTAAAGCAGCATAATACCCAAGATTAGAGAGAAGTTAAAGCTTGTTAAGCAACAGCTAATACATATTGATTGGAAATTGCAAATCCAATAATTCCAATAAATTCACTACTTTATCTGACGTGACTAAACAGTTCCAATCAGGTCCTGGAATATCAGGGATTGTTTCCTATTCTTAAAAAACTGTTTCCTGTTTTTAAAAAGAAAACAAAAAAACCTGTTTGATAAGAATAGATTTAGAAAAACTATTTTCAAAAGTAATACCTTTCTAAAACTGTTTCAGTTTTGTGCTACTTATGTTCTTCCTTACGCTATCCCATCTTCTTCCCCCCACTCTTATTATCTAAAATTAGTTTTTGAAAACTGTCTTATAAAATAGTTTTTAAAAAACTAAAAGAAAAAAACACAATCAAACACACCCTTGTACTCTCCCTAACTGGACAGCATAACAATCAAGAAAGGAACTACAGATAAGATGAACAGTACAAAACTTTCAGAGTTTAATTTGAACATAAACCTTAGCACATGGCTAAATAAGTATTTTGGTCTGCAACTTGCCGTCTAGAAGATTCCTTTGTTTCTTTGCTTAAGAATATCCAAAAATGTGTGCTTTCAACACTAAACATTTTTGCAAAACCATAAAACATGTGAGTTTGAGAAAGATAGTTATGAAACAGATTTACAGAGCTTCAAATGTTATTACAACTCATGACATAAGTGTTAATTAAATAACTAGCAGAAAGATGCACATGGAGCACTCTATGCTGTGCATTTTGGTGCATTTGGTTGGAGTTTAACTTGTATTTTTAAGAATGTTTCAATGGCACAATACACACTTGACTTCTATGGCCTCAATGGAGTGTGACTAAAGGTATATTGGAGGATTGAGCATTTTCTTTGCATAGGTTTTCTCTTTATTTTGTTGTTTCTGTTTCATTCTTTTGATAAGGTGTATCCCAAACCTCTCTTATCTTGGTAATCTTTTCCATTTGTTTTCATAAATTTCTTATTTCTTCACGGTGAGTTACAACAAAACATGTTTACAAAAGCATGTGTAGTGGGAAAGGAAGAAGGCCATCCAACTTCTCTGAGAAGGCCTCTGCTAATATATTATGAAATAGATACACATGGTTCTTGCATTGGAATATAAATTGGGTAAATTAACGAGAAGTATCCTGTTATGCAGTTGTAGCATGCCCATATAAAAAAAGATAAAAGCATAAGAAATTAGGTGACTTCACAATATTACTTTAGTCATTTCAGTTATTATCTTACTTCACTATGCAATGCAGCAGTGGCAGTCAAACGTTCATCAGGATCAATTGCAAGAAGGGTCTCAATGAGTGGCAGGGAAGATGGAGGAAAATCTTGAAATGTCTCTGCAATGCATCGCCTGTATGACTGTTGTGGCTTAAAAATGGTAGCATGTGGCAACTTTGACTTTTTCCAATATTCGTCAGAAGGAGAGCCACAAAGCTTAAATATCTTGTGTAGCTGCTCCACCTACAAAGTATGAAGGAGACTAACTACATCAGTAAAATCCAAAGCAAAAATGTCACAATCAAGTACAAGAAAATTGAGAATCCATGGACAACAAAATCTAGCACCATAGAGTCATAGACTAGTAAATTGAATATATGCCCTTAAAAGATGCAATTATAGACCCTATAATGTATCCATCCTACAGATTACCTCTGTTCGACCAGGCATGATTGGCTTTCCAGCCAATAACTCTGCAAGAATGCAGCCAGCACTCCAAAGGTCCACTCCCACACTATATTCAGTGGCCCCAAGAAGAAGTTCTGGAGGTCGATACCATAATGTAACCACTCTACTGGTCATAGGGTGTTTGTGATTAGGATCAAAGAAGGAAGCTAATCCAAAATCAGCAATTTTAAGAATTCCATCATTATCAATAAGTAGATTTGACCCCTTTATATCACGATGCAGCACATGACGATTGTGACAATGTTCCAGTCCAGAAAATAGCTGATGCATGTAACATTTTACCTAAAATACCCATATACAAACATATAAAAAGAAGGTCCACCTCCAGAAGCAACTAAAAATGCAAAACATTATTGAATCATTTATTTCAAACAAAACAAGAACATGCACTCAAGGTAAATATGTCAATACCTGAGGCTCTGTGAACTTAATTGTCGGGTTTGTGGCAAGTCCAGCCAGATCATGCACCATGTACTCAAATACAAGATATAAACTGCACGACATTCTAGAAGTCACTAAGCCTTCCAGTTTGACAACATTGGGGTGATCCAGGCGACGCAGAATCAAAATTTCTCTGGCCATGAACTTCACGCTCTCTGGCTCTAAATTGTCAAAACGAACCTTCTTTAGAGCAACGATTTTCCCCGTCAGAGTATCCCTAGCTTTGTAAACATTGCTGTATGTACCTTGCCCAATCTGATTGAAAAATAGAAAAAGCACCCATAAGAGATAATATTTGTCAGGCAAGTATCATGGAAAAATAACTTTTATACTCTTTGATGGAAGGCTTTCCAATTTATAAATCCTAACCCCCACAAAATTAAAAAATCTAAATCCACATTACTACTTTTAGGTGTTGCAATTTCTTGCATTCAAAAAACCAAACAACATCAACAAAAAGTTCTTCTTTAGAGCCAGATTCATCATACTGTGTTAAAACAACAAAAAACAACACAACAACATCAACATCAAATCACACATTCTCAATAATCAAATCCAGACAGCAAGAACATATCATCAAATTACCACCACACCAAAATTGGAATAAAAAGCAGGTGTACTATAGTGAGTCCAAGATGCCCTTTACCTTATCAAGCTTCTCAAAAGTGTCAGCCCTCCTAGGGGTCAATCCATTGATAGCTTCACCAGCAACCTTGGAGAGCCAAGAGGGCCACCCTGCTGCTACCTGCTCACCATGAACATGGTTAGGAGGATTGCTCAACCTCGGATTCGGCTTCGAGGATCGCCTCCTCTCCCCCCTTGCCCTTGTCCTCTTCTCCTTCTTCTCAATGTTCTCATTCTCAACAACAACCTCTCCTCTACCCACCTCTGATTTTGCCTCCCTAACTTCCTCCCCTGAAGACTCTCTCCCAAACACACACCCCATCTCTCAAAATTTCTCATTTACTCCCCCACTTGCACCAACCACATTTTCCCCCACAACCACTCACCCCTCCAAAACCCTAATCATAAATCTCCAAAGGCTGGACTGTGCAAACGCTAATTCTAAAGACCCCAACTTTGGCAGACAAAAGTGAGAAAACAATGATTTGGAGACACCCCACAATTTGTGGTGCAGTCAAAGAAAATAAGACCACTGTTTTTTTCCTTTTTTAAGGCGGGACTTTATTATTTTTTTTTTCTCTCCTTTTAGTACTTCTGTGATTTGGAGGAAGATCAAAGTTGAAACAGTTATAGTTGAAGTCGAGTCTTACCAGATTCAAGGATCAGTGAAAAGAAAAGAATGTTATAGAGAGAGAAAAAAAGGTGAGGGCGGATCTCCCTTTTTTTTCAACTTCTCTCTCTCATACCTATGCTATAGTGGTTTCTGTATTTATTTTGACTTAAAGGTAGCAAAGACCCATAATAACCCAGTTATGATTATGGGTGAGGCGTGTCAATGATCTGTGCCCAATTCAATTTTGTTATTTTACAAAATTTCAGAATAGTTAGTTAAGTATAATTGATATTGTTCTTTAATATTTAATTAAATGGGAAATGTTAATATAGTCCCACCTATTTTTTTAGTAAGAGTATGTTAGCAATTTATACTAAAATTTTAGGATAAAAAACTAGTCATTTTTTTTAATTTAGTTAATTCGTATAAAAGATATTATAATAATTTAATTTTATTTTAAAATAAAATTAAATATTTTCTCTCTCTTATTAACTTCATTCATTAAATCATTTCTTTTTTTTATTAATTAATTTTTATTTGTTCAAGGAAAGAGGGAGGAGACATCATGAGAGATGAGAGAGAAATGAATTAAATAAAGAATTTAATAGGAAAGAGATAAATAAGTTAGAAAAATAATTTAATAAGAAAGATGAATGAGTTGAAGAAAGAATTTAATAGGAGAGAGGAATGACTTAGTGAAACAAATTAATAAGAGAGAGAAAATATTTAATTTTCATTTAAAATTAAATTAAATTACTATAATATCCTTTATATAAATTAATCAAATAAAAAAAAATGAGTGATTTTTTTATCCTAAAATTTTGGTATAGATTACTAACATACTCTCACTACAAAAGAAGTAAAAATATATTAACATTCCCCTTAATTAAATACAATAAATAAGACATGAATTAAAAGCATCTACATAATATTAGAATAAAACATTAATTTTAATCGGAGAATAATAACAATCATATGAATGAAAGTGTAACTAACTTTTGTCTATATTTTTTAACTCCCTTTCAGTACTGTGTTTGAATCATGGTGAAGAAGCTTCCATGATAGTGTCCAATCAAAGCAAGACACAAAATTCAGGATCAAGTTCCATGAAAGTGTTTGTGTTAAATAATAATTACATTTGATGATGGTTTATTTATTTATTTTTCCTTTTGCATGCGGTAAAAATATCATAAATTAATGTCTATATCATGTCGGTGTAAATTTTTCATATTACCAATTAATCAAAAAAATCATCATTAAGTTACTAAACTTGTCATATATATAATTTAGAAATAGACAAGGGAATAATTTTTTTCACACATTCCATAATACCCATTATCTTAAAAAAAATGATAGTCGCATTCTCTTTTTAATTTTAGTCGATTATTTTATTTATCAGTCTCCTTTAATTTAAAGTAAGATCTAGAAAAATATATATAATTTTTTAATAATTAAAAAAAGTTTTAATAAGTATAAGAGTTTACTAACATTTTCCATAAAGTGGTTAGTGAATGGTGTAGTAGGAAGGTAGGTGTTGTGCAGTATGTACACCAGATCGGTTGCTTTGTATAATTTGTTGTCTTTTTATTGGGTCTGTTTCGGTGGTTTATGACTTCGAAGTTGGAACATTGCTTTCAGGAAGAAAAGAGATCATGAAGTTGGTCCAATATTTATGATAAAAATAAGGAAAGATCAAAGCATGTGCATAATAGTGGTGCAAATAAAGATTTTATGTTCCTCACTGCACAAGCCTTACTTATATGCTTAATGCTTATGTTTTGGATCCTAAAATTGTTATTTAAGAAAAAGTTTATTTAACCACTACTTTTGAGTCAACATTGAGTAAAATATTTAAATAAGTATTTAAATTCCTGCATTCCTTAACTCTATTTTTTTAGGATATCTTTTCCTAGTGTTAATTGTCGTAGTTTTTAAAAAGTTATTTTTGTATATATAAAGTTCATAACTTAAAACAAAACAATATCTATTTATTTAGAGAAAATGCATATATATATATATATATATATATATATATAATGTTGTACTTACAGATTTTTTAAATAAGAGTAAAGATATAATAACAAAATATTTTGAGTTTTTATAAATTATTTAAAAAAATGGCCATATTATCTAAACTATAATATATTTAAGTCAATATATTGATATGATTTTTAATAAATTATTTGTAAATATATAAAAAAAAATCTTATATGAGTTATCCACTAAACTTTTAGGGACGTTTGGTAAATGAGGGATTTTTTCATATTCAGAAATCATTATTGCTACAAATAGTTAAAATACATTTGATTACTCATAAAAATTCATAGGAATATTCATACATGATTATCGAGAATTAAAAATTTTCATGTTTGGTTATAATAGTATATTCTTAGGTTTATAAATATTTTTTACAAAAAATATCTCTTATTAAAATAAATTCATTATATATTTTTATTCTATTTCATTCAAATAAAAAAGTCTTAACAAATACCATTAAAGTGTAAGAACAAAATAAATTTTACTAATATTATTAAAACTGACAAAATCAATAAATAACGAGATATAAGAAAGAGAAAAAAATAGATATATGGGAGGGGAGAGTAAGGGGGAGAGGGGGAGAGACAGAGAGAGAGAGAGAAAAAAGGAGAAAGATAAATAGAAGGAGAGGGGGAGGGAGAGAGAGATAGAGAGGGAGAGAAAGAGAGGAAAAGAGAAGGGGGAGTGAGAGAGAAAAAGAAATAGAATGAGAGATACATTTTTTTATTATTTTAAAAGTGGATACCGTGATTTTTATATATATATATATAAAATTTTCCTTAACTTAAGAAAGTTAGATTCTCAATCCAAATAAGATTATTTTTATGGAAAGTGAAATAAAAATGATTCTCAATAAACTATATTTCTAAGAATCTTTTTTTAAAAATAGTTATTATACACATAACACCTCATGGTCTACAACATATTAACACATCAAACATCTCAACATGACCCTCAACAACATTACATAAGTAAGCAACTTACAACATATTTTACCATACTAATATCATTCAACCATATAAACAACAAGCATATGAATAACATCAAATCATACCACATCATATGCATACACCTCAATTAAAGCGTTGTTATGCATTCACTTACAAAAATCTCCTATAATAGGGTGAGTAATCTAAGTGGTTTGACCCTATCAAACCAATACATTTCCACACCTGTTAGGTCAATAACCAAATTGGGATACCAATCCTTAACAACATAGTTTATCGAATGTCACCAATTAAACTAAAAAGTTTAGTATTTATGTTAAAGTAGAACTGTCTGTATATGAGTCTATAATGACATTAGCCTACAAAACTAAGTCCCCTGTAAAATTAGCTTATCGACTACTCTCCAAATACTACACTCCTCTGGTACCTAGTTAGGGATTAAGTCTATGACCTTATACTTTATCCAATCGATCACTATATACACCAATAAATAATATATATATATATATATATTTCAAAAAAATAATATTAATGTTTACCATTATAATTTTTTTCATATTTGCCTCATGATAAATGTATATTAATTAACGTATAAAATAATAAAAAGTTAGATAAAAAAAAATAAAAAGTATAATTAATAAAAGAAAATAATTAATATTATTGTTTTGAACTTTTAAAATGACAAATAAATAAAAATAAAAATTTATTAAAATCTAAATAAGTAAAAGAAAAATAGCAAAAATAGTATTAGTTAATATCAATGTAAATATATAAAGTTATTGTAAATTTATTAAATAATGATTGTTTTATTCAATTTTTTAAGTTTCAATAAATTTCAACCAATAAAAAAATAAAAAAGAGCTTATTGGTCATATACTTTTAATGAAAAAAGTTTTACACAATCATTCGATCATAAATTATAATTTATATAATACTTTACATAATTATTATAATAGTTAACACAGTTATTATTATTTATGATAAATTATGATTTGGATAATTTTATAAAATCATTAAACCCATTTAATTCAACCGAAATATGGAAAGAAAAATATTAATAATATATTCCTCTAAACTCACACTTTCTTATTAACTAAAGTTTATTAAAAACTAGGTGTTTATTAAATAAGTACATAATCCACCTAATTTTATTTTTCTAATATATTTTAACTTATTAATGAGTTATTTTTTTATCAGCAAACTTATTAAAGAGTGTATTAAAAATAATTTAAACTGTTTGTTACCGACGTTTTTCTAAAACGAAAACGTGTTGTTAGTGTGAAACATGTCGAATTTAAATTGTGGCAATAAGAATGTCTAATTCTACTGTCTTTAAGTACGCATCTAATAATCCACCCACCATGAAAATGAAAACTCATACAACTACCCTAACATTGCTTTTAGGAATAGATTTCCCTTTCTTTAATTTTCAATAAAATAACCCTTTCTTTATAGTAGTCCCTATTACTTTTAAATCATCTTTTATTTCTTATCTTTCACAAAATACATGGGAATGTTAAAACATAATATTTTTTCTATAATTAAAAATATATATAAAGGATGAGATATTTAAGATTATTAGATAAAGAGACAATAAATTTTAAAGATTCCCAGATTAAATATCATTATTCACTTAATACTTAACTAAAATACAATAATACCTAATTTAATTTAAAACTTTATTTATCGAATGATTGATCAATAAAAGTTTATTAACAAAATTTTACTTTTAATACAAAATGATCTTTTTAAGTATATAAGTTCATTAAAGTAAGATTTTAATATATAGTTATAAAGATATAAATATGTGTAATCAAATAAACATGACTAATTAAATTATATTTAATGTTAAATAATACAAATGGCATTTCTATAAATAAAGAGATGACGTGCATTAAGGCTTGCCTACTCATTAGAGTGTAGGTTGTGACATTAATTAAAGATTTACTTGTTGAAAGAAATAAATTAAATAAAAATCTGACAATGACATGTGATTGCAATAAAGAAAGTCATTTTTATTAATTTACTTATTTAATTTATAATTTTTAATTATTTATATCTGTTTTATTTTTATTTTACCTTTTACATCTTATATAATTTTTGTAACAGAATGTCAAATAAAAATATGAAAATGGTTTTGAAAAAGAGAGAGAAATTGAAAAAA